CTTCCGGGGTGGCTCCCTGGGAAGCCACTCCTCGCCACCCCCATCCTCACAGCCACCCCTGGGGCTCTTGCATCCCCTTTCAGGCTTTGGCTCACTGCCCCAGGACCCTGAGAAGGCTCACAGGGTAGGGGGGAAGCCTGACTCATCCCCCGCGGAGCAGGCAAGCACAGCCCGCCAACCGCACACCCCCCAGGCAAGCGCTGTGATTTTCCACTTGCGCCATCCGATTGCTATTAGGGCCGGGGAAAGGGGGTCCTTGGTTCCATACGCCGGCAGGGGGCCCTGGGCAGATTCCAGGTGGGAGGGGGATGGGGTGGCCCCTGGGTGGCACTGCTGTCCTGCTGCTCAGCCTACCTCTCCTAAGTGCCTGCAACTCCCCCTCCATGGAGCCCTCACCTCGTCCTGGCTTCTCTGTAACAGCCCCTGAACACATTTCAACAACCAGGTGGGGACTTGCCCCTCCCGGGCCTGCGCGCCCCGAAATACCCAGTGGGAGCAGAAGGGAGGAACCAAGCAAGTGCACAGCCCAGTGCTTTCTCCAGGGCAGCCCCGAGGAGCTGCAGGACAGAGGGAGATCAACAGCTGGACTCCGGCAGCGGTGCTCCGGCCAACACGACGTCACCAGGCAGGGAGATGAGCTCCCAGTGAGGCCTGGGGGGGGGGGCTCCTGAGCGGGGCATTCCTTCCCGAAGCTTCATCCCGGCTCTGGCTCAGCCCCTCCTCCCCTCCTCCTCCCCTTCCCCCTCCCTCTGGGCCTGGAATTGGGTTTGGGGCGGGTTCTGCTCCCCAAGCCATCTCCTCCGCAGGCAGGCAGGCAGGGGCTGTCCTCGGCTCTGAGCTCGCCTTTCCCGAGGCTCCAGGCGGTGCTCTGTGCTGGCCTGCTGCCCCGGGGATCCGCGGCCAGAGGCGGGTGTCGAGCTCCGCGAACAAGACCTCGGAAGGTCAGGACAGCTGCAGGTAGCTGCATGGGGGCCCTGGGGCCCAGGGGAGGGCGTTCTGGCAGGCAGGGCTGCAGGGAGAAGGCCAGGCGGGGAGGGGGGGGAGAACGAGGTGGGCGCTGTCAGAGCACTCGGCCCCCCCCAGAAATCACGTGGCTCCGAGCAGGAAACCTGGGGCTCCAGAGAGGACTCGGGCACACTCCTGGGGCTCTGAGAGGCCCCGTCCTGGGTGGCAGGCCCTGCATTCTGGCAGTTCCTGACCCCACACTGTCCTCTAGGTCCAACTCCTGCTCTGGTCTCCTGGCAGGGGTGGGGGCGCTCCCCCTCTGTCCCTAACCCCACCCGCGCCAGCCGTCCAAGCCTGCTTTCTGGAAGGGCGGAGGGCAACACCCAGCCGGCAGCGTCCCGAGCGCGGAGAGATGGCTCCCAGGGTGGGCAGGCACGCCAGCGGTGTGGCCCGCTTGTCTAGCCTGCAGGGGCGCTGAGCCCGGGCACGGGAGGAGGAGCAGCTGCATCCCACCCTGTCCCCTGCAGACGGCCCCCGCTGTCCCCAGATTAGCCTCTTCCAGCCGAGCTGTGAGCAGGGCACCCGGGCCCTGGAACGGGAAATGCAGCCTCCCTCGGTGGGGGGCGGGCCGGTGACAGCTGGGAGGAGAGGGGCCAGGAAGACGGGCTGGGGGCTTGCAGTCTGTGCCCACCTGGGCCTCCTGGAGCACAGCCTCACGTGCCACCGGCCAGTGTGGGGCTGGGTTGTGGAAGGGTGGGGTGAAAGGAGAGGAGGCGGACAGGTGGCCGGAGCCCTTTGAGGCCTGGTGCTTCGAAGGGAGGGTCAGGAGTGCACGGAGCTGACAGCTTTTTTTTGGTCTGCTGTATCAGAAGCCAGATCCCAACCCGAGGAGCACACACACTCACCCATGCTCGCACACATGCCACACACACATGTCACACATGTGTCTTCTCAGGGCCCATCTGGGGCTCCCTGGGCTTCTAGGTCTCTGCATGAGTGCAGGAGCCTTGGCAGGACAGGAGGAGAGCTCAGAGACACCCTAGGGTCCCCCACCCAGGGAAGCAATCAGCAGAGGTGAGCTCGGGGCCCTTACTTCGTGCCTGGCCCCAGCTGGCTGCCCTTGGGGGGCATCTGGGTACTGGGGGGTCTAGCTTGGCTGAAGAGAAAGGGCAAGGCTCACAGTCAGGACATCCCCAAGAGCCCAGGCCTAGGGGTGGTGTACAACCAGGACCACCAAGTAGAGTGGGAGCATTGTGAGTGGGGGGCAGAAGGGACCAGCAAGGATGGGGGAGAAGCCGGTAGCTGGCCGGCAGGGGAGAGCTTGGGCAAGCCCCAGCGAGCAGGTAAGGCCTGTCCGAGGCACTGGGGCCAGTGGCCCAGCTGGAGTCAAGATGAGGATGGAGGGGGTGTGGGGCTCTAGACACACACCAGAGCCACCTGCTCTCTGCACGCACACCGGACTCACCCGCTTCCTCCGGAGCACAAGGGCTCCCCCCCCGAGGACAGCCACCTGCGGCCCAGGGCTGCCCCGCTGTCATTGCATGCCGCGCTGGGACCCACACGCCAGGCGCGCACGCACACTTGCCCACACCACGCTGCACGAGCGTGGCCCCAAAGGACGCTCTGGGCAGCTGGGCCGGGAGCGGAGCAAGGCCGCGGCTGGCCATCCTTCCCCGCCTGAGGACGGGCGCGCCTGCCTCGGTCCCGCCCCGGCTGGGGGTGCGGAGGGACACACGGCCACGGCGGGCCGGGAAGGAATTCTGGGGGAGGCCAGCCGAGTAGCCCAGCATTCCCTCCGGGAGGAGGGCAGGGCCAGCGGCCTGCGGCTCGGCCTCAGTTTCCCCGCCCGCACAGTGGGAGGGCTAGGTGCTTGCCCGCTGGGGCAGGACTCGGATTGGGGGACAGGAGTCCATTCCAAGGGGACCCCGGGCACGTGCACCAGTGAGCTCTGCCTGGCCGGGATGGAGCAGCGTCCGTCAGGCGGGGCTGCCCCCTCCCCGGGCCGTCACCCCTTCCAGGCCTCCTGACATGCAGTCCCAGCTGAGTACAGCTTGCCTGTCCTCCAGCCTGGAGCCGGGGCGCCGCACTGCCCTCCTGGCCGGCTCCCTCCAGCTGCTCTTCCTCGGCAGCCCCTCTGGGCTCAATGATACGCAAATCTCCCAAACGGCAGTGGGCGCAGCTGTTACCACGGGGGGCCCCTGGGCAGGTGGCCGCACTTCCCTGAGCCTTGAAGCCCCCGTCATAGGGGAATGATGATTCCTGCCTCGTAGCCGGTAATGAGGACCAAGCAGGGCGATAGCCATTGGCTGGCTGGCACAGTGTCCAGCTCCTGGCTGGGAGTCATTGTCCCAGGGGTTGATGGTGGTGTCAGTGGTACTGATGGTGACCAGGCTGTCCCGCCTTGCAGTCACCTGTTGTGGAAAGACCCGACACCTTAGCGGGTTACAAGCGCAGGGCTGGACCAAGCTGCTGCGCGTGGTGAAGAGGTGAATGCAGAGCCCAGCCAGGAGGGGGCAGTGTGTGCAGATGTGACCCACCCTGGACCCCGCAGGACAGTCCCTGTGCCCCCCCAGCACAGCCCCCCCTCTGAGGGAGCCAGCTGCTTGCTTGCCTGCCTTTCCTCTAAGGGGACAGCCGTGGGGGCTAGGGGCAGAGATCTGGAAGGTGGAGGGGCCTTCTGGGCGGGTGGGAAACACCTCTGCCCTGACGCGACCCTTTCTGCCTTTGCCAGGGGAGGTGTGCGGGCCAGCCCACGGTGAGCAGAGCCAGGAGGAATCCGGACTCGCCAGGCCTGGAGATGGCGGGGAACTGTTCCTGGGAGGCCCATCCTGGCAGCCGGAGCAAGGCAAGTGCCATCAGGCAGCAGAGGGGGCTCCAGGCACAGCGGGGCCGGGTGTGGAGGGAGAGGCAGGCTCAGCCCAGCATCTCCTCCCCCTGCCCTCTGCCACCTGTGCCCGTCCTCCATCTCAGGACTCATAGGTGGGCAGAAGACCCTCCGGGCTATGCGGCCTGGCACTGGTTCCGGGGCCCCCCCCCGGATCGCCAGTGTCCTCATCAGCCTCGAATCCCGTCCCCGTGCACACCCTGTGAGCTGTTAGCACCTGGAGCAGCCTCGTTCTGTCTCTCCCCTGCAAGATGGGTGGTCAGCTATGTCCCACAGCCAGGCCCTGCCAGGAGGCCCTGACGTCGTGGGCCCCACGGAACACGGCTGGCTCTGGGCAACCCACCCCCCCCCCAGCCCGTGACTACACTGTGTAGTCACAGTTTATGTTCAGGCACCAGCCGTGGCCAAGACCCTGACAAGGCGTCAGGCCAACCCACCCCTTTTGCCCTTCCCAGCCCCCTACTTCTCTGAGCTCCTCGAAAATTCTGGAGTTCCCTTCTAAATCCCGGGCAAAACCCTCTCCAAGCTGGAAGGACCTTTTGAGTTTATCTAGTACAACCTCATCCACATTTGAAGAAACTGAGGCTCACGACAGCACGGTAACTAGACTGGGATGAGCCCAGAGGTGGGAACAGAGCCTGGACTCTTGCCTGGGGCCTGCGGCCCTTGGCCTTCTCCCTTAGTGACCACTGTGGGCAGCAACCACGGGAGGCAGAGATGGGACCGGCTGGGGAGAAGTCTCCAGAAATCCCCAGAGAAAAGACAGCCCAGGGAGGGGGGCCAGGCTCCAGAGCAGGCATTTTACAAGGCGGTATGTGGCTGGGGAGGGCAGCTACACGCCCCGTGACTCACCCAGCCCTCCCGCTCTGACTCCGAGGAGGGGATTGCAGACTTTTTCCAGCCTGTGAGGAGCTCTGAGTGATCCCTAAGCGTGGGCTTGTCTGGGCACTGGGTCTTGTGGACTGCTGCTCCGTGGCCTGGAGTGGTCAAAGCCACCAACGGGAAAGGCTGAGGAAACAGCAAGCTAAGGGGTTTGGGGGTTGACAGACAGAGATGCTGAGCCAATAAATGTGCCTAGAAGATGATGGGTGATGAATAGGACCCCCTTAATGTGCTTGCCCTGACCTCAGAGTCTCCCCAAAGTTTGGCCAATACCTCCAGTCTCTGCTTGCAGACTCCCTTGACAGAAGCCCCCCCCCCACCGTTATGGGGTATCTGGCAAAGCTGGGGGCCATCTGGAAGGTGGCGGAATGTTCCAGCCTCAAGAACCTTTCCGTTTGTTTTCTTTTGGGGAGAGTCATGAGCAATGGGAATCGATACCCAGCCTTAAGCTGGCAGGGGAGGGGGGGCTTGGGGGTGTGTGTCAGGTTCAGGCTCTGTGGGAAGGAGTGCTGGGACGGACTAGTGATGTCTGCCAGGCTGAGGGAGGGGAGTGACAGTGCTCCGGGCAGCCTTGTTGCTTGGAATGGGAGGTCAAAATGACAGCCTGAGAATGAATCCAGCTCGTAGATGTGTTATGTTTGGCCCACACAATGTTTTTTAAATGTGAACATTTAAAGATCAGGGTAGTTCACATAACAATCTAGGGTTCTGGCTTCTCTGGGGAGGGGGGGAAGGATGACGGGCCACTCAGCCCACGGTCCCGTTTCAACTGCCCACCCTCCTGCCCCGCCGCACCCACCAGCTGGAGCAGAGCAGCTGCCCACTACTCAGGATAGGTGCTCTCCAGTTTGCACCCCCCCAACAGCCCCATTTCTTGCACCTGGCCCACCTTCATGCATTTGTCCCCAGCCCAGAATTTACAGGCAAGATACTTAGCCCAGTGCACTTGGTCAGTCAGATAGATTGTTCAAGTATCAGAGTGCTTCCCCAGAGCTGCCCCAAGAGACTCCACCTCCCCAGGGGGGCCCTGGGCCACATCCAGATCCCTCATGACCCAGAGACTCAGGGTCACGCTGGCCCTGCAAGGGACCGTCTCTCAGTCCCCAGGTCTCTCTGATCCCGCTATGGGACCGCCTCCCACTCCAGTTAGGGCCAGGGTCCACTTTTTCCAATCAATGACTTTATTCTATTTTTTAAATAAGTATTTTCACATTTTGGTGTGAAAAATGGCAAATGTACAGAAACTTTGCAAGGACAGCGCAGTGCAGATGTGCGTGTCCTTCACCAGCTGGTGGGCTTTGCTGCCTGTGCTCTATGCGTCTCATGATAGACTCTTTCCCGGAACTGTTTGGAAAGTAAACTGCAGACACCAAGCCCTTTTGCCCCCAAACTGCCTGGGCCCTCTAAGAACAAGGACTTCCAGTATAGGGCAGCAGTGCATCTTCCTACTCAGAAAATCTAACGTTGGTGCAGTACGAGGATACCCAGTCCGGACGCACATTTCCCCACCACCCCGCTAATATCCTTCACAGCAACCCGTAGGGCCACTCTAAAATCTAGGATGCAGCCTCGCATTTTTTGGCCACGGCTCTCCATGCTCCTTCAACCTGGAAAGGTTCCTCCGTTGTTCCGTATTGTTCAGGACACAGACACCTTTTGACCAGAGTCTGTTCTGACAGGTGGGCAGTCCCGGGCCTTTGTCAGGGACTGTTTTCACTGTCGCTCCTCTAGGCCGCTAGCTACAGACTCGGGGACACAGAGTCGTGGCACTATGTGGGAGCAAGGGTGTCTTCTGCTCTAGCTACAGCCAGTTCATTGTTCCAGAGCCAGTGACTCGACCAGCCTGTGACCAGCCTGGACACAGGTGCAGGTTTGGGGGTGGGGCCCAGCCCACATCACAAGTGTCTCCCCTCTGCACGTGCACAGATGTGTCCCGACGTGAGTGAGGCCCCCGAGCTCTACAGCCGTGGCTTCCTGACCATTGAGCAGATCACCATGCTGCCTCCGCCCGCCGTCATGAACTACATCTTCCTACTCCTCTGTCTGTGCGGCCTCGTGGGCAACGGGCTGGTCCTCTGGTTTTTCGGCTTCTCCATCAAGAGGAACCCCTTCTCTGTCTACTTCCTGCACCTGGCCGGCGCCGACATCGGCTACCTCTTCAGCAAGGCTGTGTTCTCCATCCTGAACACGGGCAGCTTCCTGGGCACGTTCGCTGACTATGTCCGCGCCGTGTGCAGGATCGTGGGACTCTGCACGTTTGTGTCCGGCGTGAGCCTCCTGCCCGCCGTCAGCTTGGAGCGCTGCCTGTCGGTCATCTTCCCCGTCTGGTACTGGCGCCGTCGGCCCAAGCGCCTGTCGGCCGTGGTGTGTGCCCTGCTCTGGACCCTGTCGCTCCTGGTCACCAGCATCCACAACTACTTCTGTGTGTTCCTGGCCCACCGGGCCTCCGGCGGGGCCTGCAGGCCCATGGACGCCTTCCTGGGCATCCTGCTTTTCCTTATCTTCTGCCCACTCATGGTGCTGCCCTGCTTGGTGCTCATCCTGCACGTGGAATGCCGGGCCCGGCGGCGCCAGCGCTCTGCCAAGCTCAACCACGTCATCCTGGCCATGGTCTCCGTTTTCCTCGTGTCCTCCATCTACTTAGGGATCGACTGGTTCCTCTTTTGGGTCTTCCAGATCCCAGCCCCCTTCCCTGAGTACGTCACCGACCTATGCATCTGCATTCACAGCAGCGCCAAGCCCGTCGTCTACTTCCTGGCCGGAAGGGACAAGTCACAGCGGCTGTGGGAGCCTCTCAGGGTGGTCTTCCAGCGGGCCCTGCGAGACGGCGCCGAGCTGGGGGAGGCCGGGGGTGGCACGCCCAACACGGCCACCATGGAGATGCAGTGCCCCTCTGGGAACGCCGCCTGAGAGGCCAGCACCTGGAGGGTGGCAGGGGCTGTGGCCTCCAGAGACCCTCTGCTGCAGGACAGGAGCTGGGCAGCTGCCCTGGCGCCCAAGTGCAAGGAGGAAAGTCTGCTTCCCGCCCCTCACGCCTCCTTCTCCGTGGGCTGGAGGCTCTAGGGGTGGCCGGCCGGGAGCCGGAGCAGCCACCTGCACACAGGCCCCCTGGCCCGGCCAGGCTCCCCCAGCCATTCTCCTCCGTGGCCAGAGGTCCATGGTTCGGAAGTGGCCCCAGGGGGTGGGGCTCCTCCTCCTCCCAGGCTGGTCAAAAGGAGAGGAGGGAGGGATCACCCATCCCCGTCCACCTCCTGCCCCTTTCAATCAGCCCTCCTTAAAAATGACGCAGCCCGCACCACCGCCCCTTGGGGCAGCCGCTTCACCCCCGTCAGGGTCCCTGTTCTCTCCGTTCCACCCCCCGAGGCAGTATTGGCGAGCCAACCTGAACACACGGTGCTATCTGGAAGAGCGTTCTGGCGAACCTGCCTTGCTGTTCCGTCTTTCTGCACCCGACGTCCCTGCCCAAATCCTTTGGTAATTTTAACGGGGGAGTTTACGGTCATGGCAAGCAGCTGGACAGGAAGGGGCCTCGGCCAGCCGGGGCAGGTCACTCTCTCCCTCTGACTCCATGCCGGCCAGACCCTGGGCAGCCTCCCAGAGCGCAGAGCGGGTTCGCGCTGCTGTGCGCCTGGTCCTCGAAACCTGGCCGACTGTCCAGGAGTCTCTGGGCTCCAGCCCCCACCCGAGAGTGGGCACTGGCTCTACCTGGCTGCCCCAGCCCACCTCCGAGCACAGCGGCCCCGTGTAGCCAATGCGAATTTTATGAAAGACAATAAATGTGTATCAATAAACGTTTTATATCGTGCACTGAGCAAGGCTTCCTGCCTTCTGTCCTGTCTGCACCTGTTCCACAGTGAGGCTCCCTGCAGCGACGAGCAGCCCAGACGGCAGGCTTTCCATGCTAGGCCCCACCCACCCAACCTGCTCTGTACCCCCGCATTTGTGCTCCTCTCCTGGCGGATCCTGGCTGACCCCTCTACACCTCTGGGGTGCTGCCTCTCCCGGCTGGCCCGTCTATACCTCTGGAGTGTTCCCTCTCCTGGTAGGGTATCCACCCCTCTGCCTCACGGAGCTCTGGTCAGCCACGCTGTCCTGTTGGATAAGCCTATGCCCTTTCTCACCCATTCAGGGTCCCCAGCTCCCCTGGGAAGCAGTTTTCATCATGCCTACTCAGAGCCAGGCCTTACGCTGGTTAATACAGGTCCTGCTGTAAGGAACACAGTGTGTCCTTAGGTGGGACTGCTGCTTCTCCTACTGCTACCTGTCCAGGATGCCCCTCTCTGTCCCCCCCCACCCCCGAGGCAGGGGCAGGGGCTGGCTTCCCTAAGCCTGGCACCTCCCCATTGCCCAGCGATAAGCTGGAGCCCCTCCGGAGATAGCTCAACTAGGGCCGGGCCAGAGGCTCCCTGACTGCCCCCCTGCCTCCAGCCAGTCCCTGAAGAGGCCTGTCTTGGGCTCCAGGTGTCCAGCCTGGGATCCCAGCCCTGTTGCAGGGAAGCTCTGGGGTAACCTGCTCACTACACGGGCCCAAGGAGAGAGCAGGGCAGAGGCACCCGTGGCCCAGGCAGGGAGCAGGCCCCTGTGAGAAAGCAGTGGGAGGGGAGGGAGACGGCTGGGAGTGGGCAGGTGACTAACGGAACCAACTGCCGGCCCATCCAGGGAGTGGCGGTACCTCCAGGCTCTCCCGCTGGCCCGCCTGGCAGCTGGCCCTCCACCCATAGAGCCTGGATTTGCTCTGCCTTACCCTGGTCGTCCCAGAGCAAGGGCTGCAGGACCACCCTGGTGTGGGCTGCCCCCCAGTGCATTTCTTGGTGACCAGTCCCCCAGGTGGCCAGACTAGTCCCTCCTGGCCTCCCCAGGCCTCTGCTCCTGTCCTCCCCTTTCCAACAGTCCCAGCTGCTCCTCCATTAAGGTCACTGCTCTGCCGAGAGGACCCCAGGTGTCTGGAGGCAGAGGAGCTTCAGATGGTGGAGGTCAGTGCGCCTGCCTCTCCCACTTCCAGCCCTGGGGTGCACCCTCCCCGTTCTCCCACACTCCACCCAACCCCTG